CCCAAGAGAGGGTTGAGGCTAATCTGACCATCTGAATGGCAAAGGGTCTGTGACGGAATTTTTAATGAAAAATGTGTCATGCTTGGAAATCGTTCACTTATGAAAATGAAACGACCATTTCACTGTTACTGACAAAAGACTTTAAAGGAACTATTCAAACAACGGTCTCTATTAAGTTTTCCTCTATACTTCTCATTCCAGCTACATTACTTAGTGATTTTTTAATGTATTCCCTTTGAGGTCCTGCACTTGTACAAAGTGAGTTTGTTTTGTCCTAGGACGCAAGTTTCAAGAAATTTTTGGTGCCAGCTGGCTCTTCCTAAATTTATTCTTGATAGATGCTCATTTCATTTCCTTCAAGCATTATTAGGGAAACCACATGATATCCGATTCTGAATTGTGCATGCGTTTAAATTAGCGGCTGGCTACTCTAATTAGTTTTAAAGCAAGGCTGTAGGTCGCACCAGAATTTGAGGATAGCACAGCTGGTCTATGTAGGCAGCTGCGATGTCCATGCCCATGGGCCTCACGGTAAACTAAGCTTTACCGGAGGGCGAAGGAAAGTTCCTCCAGGAGATGAAATGATGAAAAGTGGCATCTGGTAAAGGAGTCATATCTGTACCTACAATTTCCTGAAATCAGTCCAACCCAAAAAGTCTTGGGTAAAAGTTACACCCCGCCTTTGGAAAAGTGACCCTACGGATCAAATTGTCTCCTGAAAACAAAAGTGCTTCATCAGCTGCAGGAAAAAAAGCACATATGTGCTCTCACACACACGGGATGTAGCTGGGCACTGAGCCACCCTTACGCTCAGCGCAACAAAAATTTGAGCATTAGTGTTGCCACTCGCATATTTATTAAGCTGAAAGCACTGTCACGCACATTTAGCGCCGCGCTGCTCCCGGGCTGTAACTTTTCACGTGCAAAGTTCACCCGCAGAACAATGCGAATCAAACGATGCCAGATGTGCTTTAAGCACCGTATTGGGTTGCACACCTTCGCTGGCGCGAGGCAGGGCAGACCTGCTTGCGTCTGCGCTTTCGGAGCACGACTGATATCAACCCGTCATCCCCGGTGTGCAGGACAATGGAAAAACGTCAAGTTAAAAAAGCCCTGCAGATACTTGGCCCATTCAGGTGCGGTGTTAAAACCCTGCCAAAAGGACTTGCATATGATTTATCAGTGTAACACTCTGGCCAAAGCTAAAAACCAGACTTTGCTGCCCTGTTAATTTTGATACAGAAAACAGAGAGTTTAAAACATCGCTGTCCAGCTTAAAAGAAAACAAAATTTGAAACGGTGATAATAGCTACGAGCAGATAGTGCTGTTTAAAGGGGGAATTGAAATCTTCTGCTGTATAGCAAAAAAAAAAATAAAAAAAAAAAATCAAACATCCGTCTTTTAGTTAAATGCATCTAAAGCAAATCACGCCGTATTTTCCACCGGCTCATCAGGCATAAGGATTAGTGTCGCAACCGCAGCTGCTTGGTTTTCCAGCGTGGTGTATTTTTACCAATTCAAAGCCCGGTTCTGGTCATGAAGCAGTAACTTCCCCCAAACCTCCTTTACAGAAGAATTTTGGACAGTTTAAGTGGCATCTTTCTTATGGGAATAATCAGGGAACGTTTCTCACAGAGGTGTGATGTTGACTAACAGACTAATACTCAATAGGAAGAAATCTCGACGTGCTGTATTTTGTATATGTGTGTTATCAAACATTTATTCCGCTGCAGACAAAGCGAAATGCATCCAAGCCCGGTGTAACTTCTCCAGCAGTCTCTGCTGGCAGTCGGTGCTCAGTGTGCAGTTTTGCAGGAAGCCGCTTGCCAGCGTTTGGGCTTGCTGCTGCTGCTGCTGCTACAGACAGAGCTGATGGCACCAACAACCCCGCTGTAAGGAGGCGACGCTTTGGCAGGGCCAGCTTTGCTGGGGACAAGTTTTTTCCCTAGGGTTAAAAAAGCTTTTTATATATGTATAAATAAATATAGAATATATAAATATATATATATGTATACACATTTACACATATAATATATATAAAATACATTATGAATAAATATATTTTAATATAAATATATGAAAAAACAAATATAAATTTATCTCAGCTTTCCTTTTCACATGTGCCTTATGGGATGCGACTGGACCACAGAAGCAACAGCTTACAGACGCGTATGTACAACAGCACACTCTGATGGGCCTTCCACCTCTGTCAAACTCCGGCAGTTTGGCCAGTAGGACCACGGGAAAAATTGCGGCAAGATCCAAGACTCAGGAATTTAAATTTATCTTAGCAATTGTCAAATTTCTGTTCGACAGATTCTTCCATGGAATCACAGCGAGAGAATGAGACTTATGCAGAATCACGTACACCAACTGTCCTTGAACCACGACTACGGTACTGGGGACTGGCAGTGTATTTTGGCTGCTTTCCTTGAAAATTCAGGTTTTCAAAAAAAATTTATGTTTATATATAAATGTGACAAATGTAAAAGCTGCAGGCAGGTAAAATCAGCTTTCTTGAGAAACAAAGCAATGGCTCTAATAACTGTAAGTTCGAACAAAACATAGTAGCTGTTTGGGATAAATAATAGCTAATGTAAGTCTCTCTTTAAAAAAATAGCAATTATAATGTTAGACTGTAAGGTTAAAACCATCTCCTCTAATTGCATAGCAACACCTGCATCACACCGCCCCAGGCAGCTGCAGCGAGTGAATAGACTCAGACCCATAAAACACTGGGCGATCCTTCCACGGGCAGCAGAGCGTAGCCAACCCCGGTCGCCGAGCACAGCATTCACCCAAGGAACCAGCAGCCTGTGACATTTAATTTAAGGAAGATGCTTTAGGATTTATCTTGAGGAGCAAAGCTGCCTCGATCTCCCAGCTAGAGCAATGTGTTTCCATTTATGTATTAAACCACAAACACGTTGAAATGCTGGGTCTACTTAAACTCCTGCAGAAAAAGGTAATTAATTAGGTGCCTGCTGCAGTCTAGGGGGAGCAATTTTTACTCACCGACGTCCCATGCATTCCACAGCAGCCTGTTTCTAGGGGCTGGCACAGATTTTCTTCCGAGTCCGGCCTCCAAAACTGAAATAGGAGGCTCAGCGTGGTCATTTGCGAGGCAACCGTTTACATTCACTCTCCAAAGCTGTGACTTTTGTATCCATCAAAATAGCGTCAATTCTTCTGCTGCCCATACTTTTGTTAATTGGCATGAATTTTAGAAATATTTTAACTAGATTTTTTTTTCCTCTTCTGCCTGTTGCATGTAAGATGCAACTGAGGGGAAATGGTCAGTTCTGTATGCTTGAAACCCTCTAATGGTATGAAACAGGCTGAAGAAAGCATCTTGCTTTGTTCTTTTGACAGTGATCTCTTCTGTGCTAGATGTTAACCATGCTGGTGCGACCTGGGATTTTGAAGCTGGGTCTCTCTGCTCCCAGCACACCTTGCTCCGTACAACCTGCCCTCTCCAGAGTTCAGAGAAGCTGTAGAAGCTCCATCCCTGGAGGTGTTCAAGGCCAGGCTGGATGGGGCTCTGAGCAACCTGGTCTAGTGGGAGGTGTCCCTGCCCATGGCAGGGGGGGGTGGAATTCTATGATCTTCAAGGGCCCCTCCAACCTAAACCATTCTATGATTCCAGCAGAGGAGAGGTGAGAAAAACAGCTCCCTGGCTGCTGAAGGAAGACATTTGCCTGAAGACATTACTCACACCAGCGAGGAGAGTACTCTATGTTCAACTCTTTGATTAAAAAGAATTAAAAAAATTCTTGCCCACCTCTCATGCTGAAGAACTGAAAATTTTCTGGAGGATGCGTACGGGGAGCAAATTTTCCCAACAGGGACAGATCCACAGCAGCTGAATAGATCGATTGGTACCAAATGCAATTAGGAGGCACCGTAAGTGAGTGGACTATTGAACACCAGAGGGCAAGCCTGGTGATGGAAAGAGGGCTGGCAGCTGCAGCACAGGTAGATTATGCAGATGCAGCGCATATTGCAGACGAGAAAGTACTTCATCCTCTCCCTGCACTTTAAGGTCATTCCCTTCCTGGCAAACGAGCTAGAGTAAAGCTAATACAAACAGCAAAGCCTTTGGAAAAATCGCAGTTTAATGTGTAGTGGTAAGGTGACAAAGGAAACAAACCATTAACACCCAGTGTTACAGAAAAATGCACATAATTATTTTTTTTTTAAAAACATCTGAATGGAAAAGGCAAGCAAATTCTTAAGGAAGTTATTCTCTTATTGAAAGACTCATACCGATATTATTCTTTATGCCTAGAAAAATATGATTAACCCAAGTGATTAGGCAACTCCGATTTTAAATCTGAGAAAAACAGGCTAAAAGAGCAATAAAACTATGCTGTGATCTCCAAACCCAATATAATTGGGCAAAGTCAGATCTTCAAGTTGTTTTACTACAGCTTTGAATCCAACTGAAGATCTTTTCCTGACCCACAGTCAGGTAAACAATTCACAGAATTAGCAGATAACTTCAACACTTTAAAGTCGATTTCTTCCGAAACCGACTCACCAGTTCTCAGGCCATCTAGTGGCCTGTTCCTTCAGGCAAACAGAATGGTTACTAAACTCCTCTGGTTAAGGCTGCTGCTTTAACAGACAGCGGTCAGTTATGCTATCATTTCAAACAAAAGGTTAGAATATGCAATGCAGAACGCTCCTGCTGACTGGGAGTATCATAGAAGACAAACCCATCCTCTTCTCCAGATACTAACCATCAACATGAAGCACTCATGCTAAAAAAGGGACGTGACAAAAAGTACATTTTCCCTTTCTTCAGAAAGGCCCTGTACCACCTTCAATTAAACCTGTAACTAGTGCGTAGGGCAAAGTAACTATTTACATCAAAACCCAGATCCCTTAGAGTAATATGGCTCTCATCATTCTCAATGATTTGGGTCTGACAGACTAACAAAGCTTTGCACCTTCCCACAGACTCAGGTTTTCTGTATGTTTTAATAGAAAAACAGAACTATAGCTTCAATTTGGATTCTTTTGCTTGCAAAGCCTTGGTTGCTAGTTCAACTCTTTCTTTTAAGAAGCTAGCTTCTTCAGGACTTTTTTTGGCTTGTACATTTTTCAGTAAGAAGTGGGTAAGGAAGAGTTTCAAGCTTTCCCGCAGCATTCCCAGTTTGGGGTTGTCAGATACCCTGTAAAGATACAGATCAAAAGTAGTATTTAGTCTTCCACTGTTTTAGAAATGTTTTAATTATTTTCTTTATCTTCTTCAAATAGAGATGTAGAAAAAAATCCACCCTATAAAAGGAGCTTTTCTGAAGAGGCTTTCAAATTACCAGCAAGCCTACACCAGTTTGGCAAACAGCCCAAACACACTCAACACGCAATTGATCCTCAACAATAAAATGGAATATTTGAGCCTTAGACTTGTTTTATGTAAATGATTACATTACAGCAAAAAACGAGGCAAACACCGTGTTTGAGCTTCCTTGTGTTGCAGCGTAACGGTTGAAACATCGTCACCTAATTTTCTCTAACTTTATATAACATTGCAAGTTTAATGCAACAAAATCATGGAATCATGGAATAATTTAAGTCAGAAAGGATGTCGGCAGATCATCTTGTCTGACCTGTTTAAAGCTGGACTAACATTCAGGTGTGGTCAGGTTGCTCAGAATCCTAAGCATCTCCAAGGACGGAGATTTCCTAGCAACCCCGGCAACCCCATCCCATATACAAAAATAAGATTTTCCAGACAATGTTGATTTAAAAAAAAAAAAAAGGTCATCCAAACCTTTCCCTCATTGATATTTCTTTATTTTTCCTTTTTACATTAAAGACACCTTCTAGCAAAGACTGCTGTGAGAGTGAATCCACTGCACACACATGGTAAAGCAATTAGGAAAGTCAGTAATTACTGAGCTCTGTTCATGAAAATCCTATGATCAAAATGATACACTGAATATCTGAAAGCCTTACTTTGTGTAACACTTCTCACAGTTGGATCCGTATCGGAGCCTGTACTAACACACAAATGATACACTTCCCCCCAACTCCCCCAGCAGAGCTTACTTTTTAAGGAATGGATGGCTGACCTTCGGAAAAGGCACTGTATAATTCTGAACAAAATAAGCAAACTTTTTATCTTCTTAATTACTACTCACCAAGGGTTCCCTGGAGATCTCTCTGATCACTTACCTCACAAAAATGTCACTAAGTTCTTCAGCATCTGTTTCAGTCAACAGCATGCTTAATACTTGTCGCAAGAAACGGACTTTGGGTTTATCTAGTTCACTGAATTCAATTACCTAGTAAAGAGAGAGGGAAAATTTGATTAATTCAAGTATTTCAAACAGCTGAATTTTCTTCTAAATTAACAGCTTTTAGCACACCAACTGGCGTTCCACATATATACAGAGTCCTAAGTTTGGCACAGAAGAATTAGCCAAGAATGCTGCCTCCCAAAGCCAATCAATAAGGAAAGCAGAGAAATTTCTAAGGAATAACCGGTCTATTAGTACCAGAATACCGGATATAATTTCTCAGTTAGATAAATACTTCAGAAGTACCTAGGACAATCCATATAATTGCCCATTTAACACATTTCAATTACTCTTCTAATAAAAGTCTATGGAGACCGCATTCTGAAATCCAAGTGCTCAGTAGATTTCTCTCTGGTCTAATAAAAATCAACACCGGCTAAAAAGCATAGTAAAAAATCCACTGACAAAGTCCGTTAATGAAGGGACCTCATTTCCAACTCTGGATACTCTAAAGAAAATAATCTTACAATTGCTCCAGATATAGAACTGTAGACTTTCTTGTACGCCTGGGGCACCACAGGTTCCCTTTTCCCCAAATGATAGCATTACCATAATGAATTGGATTAATCTGGTAATTTTATAAAAAGTTTTGTCTTAGCTTATGACCATGAACAGCTGAAGTACCAGCTAGGTAACAGAGCAAATACATTTTCTACAGAACTAGCAAATGCAAAGAAAACACAGAAGTATTTTGAAAAGAAAACACACCAACCTTGAGAACTGAAAGTGGCAATGATTTTGTCCTTAATAAGTGAGCCAACAGTGAAACCAAGTTGGAGATAGCAGAAGCTGACAGGTTTTCTAAGTCTCTGATTTTGTCCCAAATACTAAACTGAAACGTCATCTAGGTGTCAAAGGAAAAAAAAAATCCTACACATTAAACGACTGTTTAAATGAGTAACAACATAACAAAACCTTTCAACTTTCTATTCTTTATGACCCCACTGTTAATTAACAGAGATGCTTGATCAGACTCTGTTCAATTCTTTTCAAATGCGTAAAACAGAGAAAAGCAAACCTTCCGCAGTAATTACTTTATTTCCTCTGCAGGTCTGACCGTGAGCACGCCTTACTGAACGCAGAGCTATACCAGCAGAGTTCTTCCTCAGGATCAAGATCTTAACAGGCATGCATTCATTTTCAGGTATTTAATAACTGTCTCCCAAACCACAATAATGACACTAAAACAAAGTAGAAACAGATTTTTCTTCACCTGGAATCGTCTTTCACATTCACAAAACTTGTTTGCTAAAAATGCATAGAAGGGGTTATATGTCTTCTCCTGTAAGCAGCAGTAAAGGATAACATGAACAATTTCTCTCTCCTGCTGATCTTTCAGTCCAAGCCTAAAATTTAGCAAGAGAACGAGAATTGTTTAGTAAGGAAAAAATCACTGCCACAAAGGAAGAGCTACAGTCAGCATCTGAGAGTAATACTTAAACTCCCCCCTGAAACACCACATTAAGTTTTACTTGTTATAAAGTTCTTATAAAGTCTTTAAATCACTGAATGGACTCAAACCCTTAAGACTGTGGGCTGAATCAGTATCCTGGTATGGCAATATAGAAATGCTACAGTATTACTGGTGTTAAAGGAGTGGCTGCAAAAGCAAGACCTCAACAGAGAGAAGTGGAACGACACAAGTATAATTACTGCCTGGGGAAGGAGAGGTGGCCCACTCCATGTTTGTAGCTCTTCAGGAAGTAAAACAGAGGAGAGGGCACTATCATCATGGAGTTTTGTGCCTCTGAACGTAGCAGCACTACTGCAGCAAGCGCTGCTGCGTGGTGTACCAGTACATCGTTTAACTAGTGGAACAAGAACTGTAGGACCCTGTTGCAGTTATCTCACACTTTTACCTATGGTCATAGGAGGAAAGACAGCCTTTGGATCAGTATAAGCCTATTTAAAGAAACATGTCCAGGCCACTTCACCTCTGTGGTACTTACTAGGAATAAGACAATTTTTTAAGGTATTTTTCCTACTTGGTGATGTGAATCTCTTCATCTCTACGTCAACTCCATGCTACATAATACTTGAAATTCATTATTGTTTGACAGTAGCCTAAGAGGGTGCAGTCAGTGATTTCAAACCACCTTAAAAAAACCCAAACCTGAAGAAATCAGTATCAATGAGTACTTATGTTGGCTGCCTCAGCACAAAGGCTAAGGACTGAACAGCCTTCCCGCTTGAACAGCTGACCAGTCTAAAAGGGGCCTGAGACACTTTGGCAGGGAATGGTAACTAACTCGCAATGCACCTGTTCTGTGAATAATCTGATTTAGCTTCCAGGGCTGTCAAATGCTTGGCAGCATTAAAACCAATTAAAATGAAAAATGCTTCATATTATAATCTGAAAAATGTCAAACAAAATTCTTTTCATTGCTTCAAGCTCAAGTTTCGTACAGCATTAGTATAATTCAAGTGTATTTTCTAACTAAGTTTGACCCCACTGGAACTTGCTCTACCATCTGTAGAGTACAGTTTGTCATTGCTTGAGTCTAATATCCCTCGTTCATATACACCTTCAGACATCTGCCATTGCATTTGATCACAGACACATAGCAGATTAACAGACAAAATATTGTCTTTCAGCGAAAACCCCCAGAATTTAAGGTTTCACAATATGAAAATCTGAGATGATTTCTAGGCTGATTGCTAATGAGCAGTGAAAACCTAGTAGCCTGCTTCTCCAAAAGAGACCAGCACTGTAAGTGCTGTGTCTGTGATATAATTTGCTTGCTCTCTCATGAGCCAAATTCTACTTGATTTTATTACAGAGCAACAAAAGCTCTCTCTCTCTTTTTTTTTTTTTTTTTTATTTTTTATTTAAATGCACAGGTTTTCAACCACCGGACATCCATTTAATAGATGACTTGTGAATTTACATCACTAATTCTGCACACTCTCCTTTTCTTTGTTCATCATCACTTCTATCACGACTTGCTTATTTAGGAAATACTCATGTTGCCAGATGGTTGCAACTGAGTAAATCAGCACTTCAATGTCCAATTTTGTTCTTACCTTCATGTCTTCACAGACCTAGCAGTATTTTCTCGTTTCAGACCTAGCATTCCTAGGCATCTAAATTTAAGAGTCAGGATTGTCTTTCACTGCTTAGCTTCACCATAAACCTGTACAGATTTCATAAACTGGATAATCTTAGATAAAGAACATGCAATGACCTCACCTATTAAATCATTCATGAGTTAAAATACTCCCATGGACTTGTATGTCTTGATCACTTAAAGAATTTCCCCCTATGTATGGGAGAACTGCTTCTGAAATACAGATTATTTAGAGGCAGGCTTCTGCCAGTGGTAAGTAGGTTAGTTATCGTCAGTAGAAGCCCAAGACTGTAATTGCCTTTAGATCAAAAATAGCAATACTCAAACCCAGCTTTTAAAAGTCAGTTCAATGATTTTAGTAGATACAGTCACATACACGCTATCCTGAATTACGCACCACACTACAACAGGATATCTAAGACTTTTGCAAGTTCCCATTTTTTGAGGTGTAGAGTTTCTCAAATTGTTCATCTCAATGCTTAAAAATTGCCCCTTCATCAAACTTAAGAAGCATTCATTCCCCCTCATTTGTGAATCTGTGGTTCGTGAAGAAGATGCGGCCTTTCAGCTGATAGAATAGATCAAGTCTCACTCTCTTCTCCTTGTCTCCAGTGATGTTCCCAGTTCTCCCTTCACATTGACACTTCTGCAATCACAAACTGAGCCACTTCAGGGAGCTGTTCTGGCTTCAAACTAATTACTTTCTTTTGATGTAAGGAGGAGAAAAACAAGCAGAACTGTATCAGCATGGATTTATAATGGTTTAAATTACCACTTAACCACACCTCAACTCTGCTGGAGATCTCGCAGCTGATGAATCAACAAGCGCAGTTAAAATATTCCTTTATGTATTTCTCAGGCTCTTCCTTGTGAGACTGACATCAAACGTACAAATATAAATTCCCATACACTCTGGAACATTAAAGTTAATTCCTTCACTGAAACTTTTGTGTACTTTCCATTATTCTCTGCCAGATGTGGGCAGATTTGAGAATTCCTCTCTCTGAGTTTGCTGTTTAAAAATCAGTATCAACGCACACCAGGCAATCTGCAGGCAAAGTTTTTCTGCCAAGCCTGTATGTGTACAGATTTGTATACTAGTTTAAATAGCATGGATGAGTCAAGGATCAATTTGCAAATTGAACTACCAGGTCTTGGCAAGAGCTGCAGCAACAGCAGCTAATTTCTTTTAATTGAACAGGCCATATTAAGATATTGGAATGACTCCACCACAGTCTTAAATCCAAGCTGTGTTTTGCAGAAGTGGCATTTAATCAAATATTAGTTGACTTTATTACGAAGTCTGTTTTGGTTTGGTTAGCAAATTAAATAATTGCATGCCATCCTGGTAAGACAATTCCCTTGAATTACAAGGCTGCAATAGAAAAGTTCAGCCTTGATCTCTCCCCTCCCAGTTACTATAGACTTACAATTAATATTCTGACAAACACAAAGAACAGCTTAGTTTGAGCTTTTTCCTGATCACATCTTCTTCTAAAGAGCTGTTTGCCAAGCGGTAAGGAAACTGGTCTTAACATGAAATGTGACCCTGGAGCAAATCCAAAGCTAATAAATTCTGCAAGAGGGAAGCAGAGGTGCTAGAACACTACCAGGTCATGCAAGTACGGACAGAGACCTACACGGTGGCTTTACAAGGTGGCAAGTAGTAAAGGAAGCGGCAGTAGTACAGAAATCCAGGGACAAAACCAAGAGATGTTCTGAAGGGGATTCTGGTCTGCTTCTAAGGAAGCAAGCCTGCAACAGACTTCCATCCATTAGATGAGGATGCACATCTTCAATGCAAAAAGATACAGGCTTCTTAAGTCAGAAGATACTGAAGATCAATTATAGACATGAGTGACAATAACAGGGGCTACTCCTTTCCTCTGACTGCCAGTCAGTTCTGCCTGCCCCCTACTAGTCCTTACACCAGGGTTTTGGTCCTTCTCTTCCCCTTTTACCCTATGTGGATCCCTAGCTATGCGCTTCTTTAATTGTATTATCAATTAAATGCTCTTAAGCCCAGACCAGCAATGTTATTTTTCCAATCCAGCTAATGCTGTTCTTAGTTCTGTGCTGTCTTCTAGGCTAGTCTGTACTTACTTAAGAAGCTTTTCAAAGGCATCCAGGAAGTCTTCACTTGTCATCAAGACACAGAAAATACTTCTCCTGATATCGGTATTCATTCTCTGCTTACGAGCAAGCTCCATTATCTTTGAACTCACCTGAAAAAATATATATAAATAAATGCCATTTTATTTATGCCTACTTTAAGAAAGCTATTTCTGTGCAGACTCTAATAAGATCATTAATGAAGATCTCCATAAACTATGAAGCATCAATCCAAAGGTCCTGAGCGTTTGTCCACAGGCACATTTTAATGTATTTTAATTGTGCCAATTATTTTTAAGACATGCTTTTCTAATGCAAGTCACCATGACCATCTCACCACACTACTTTTAGAATCAGCTTAGATATATGCCACCCATGGACAGACCTGTCAGAATTCATACTAGCAAATCCACTTCAGGTCAAGTCTCTTCTTCCACTTACATAACAAGTTACTTTTACAATTCCACAGGGTAAGAAAAAACAAGCTATACCATATTTGTAGTAACAGCTGTTATGAAGTGCATGAGCACAACATTTTGAAAAACTTAACAGCAGAATTTACAGTCCAAAATCTCAGTCTTACAAGAGCCCATGAAGTTGTTTTTTTTTGTGGGCTCTGAAATGAACTCATTCACCTGTATGAAGAATATTCAAAAGATGATAAACACTTAGATTATAACTAGCACTGCTTGGATTTACCTTTCCTATATGCAGTTTTTGCTGAGTCTTGTTGTTTGTATCATTGATCATTGGTGCTCCGCTCCAGGATGACCCTACGATCCACCAGCGACCAACTTGATCAGCACTGAGGAGAGATTCCAGGGAGACACGGAGCTGAGTTTCTTTTCCACTGCTACGAACCTTGAATAACAAAATACAAAAAAACCCAAAAGCTTTTATTTGAAGCTTTCTTTACCCCTCAAAAAAACCCCGAAACCAACAAAAACTTTAATTACTTAAAATTACTTTAAAACAAATAACTTAATCTCCATAAAGGTCTTCACGTTTCCTCTGAACAACCTTTAGTTTCAGTCAGCAGCCTGAAAAGAATTTACAAGTTTCCCACATGCTCTAATTTCTTAAATACAAGAAGTTGCTTAAATGTACATTGAGAAGCTTTTTTTCAATATAAAAAAAAAGACATAAATTAAAAAGTAGCCACATTCCAATCATAAAACTTGATTAGAATTCAGACTTGATTGCTGACATTCAAAATCACTTGCAACATCTTACAATCTGGTCATGATTTTCCTTTCAAACACTTGTGATCAAATAAAATGACATGACAAACTGCCTTAAGTTTTGTACAATTCAAATAACAAAAAGCTTGAACTCTTTCAATAAAATAAGAATTTCCAGCAACAGAGTCTAGAAGCATACTAAGAGGACTGTGAAAATTTAAGAGAAGAAATTCAACAGAACTAGGTTACATATCTTATTTTTGCCTGACCTATTATCACTGATGTACACATCCTGCACTTACAAATTTCTGAAAAATAAAATCTCTAGGTGTTGTAGACAAGTAGTGTGATTTTCAGGTTGGAGATACATGGAGTCTAACACCAGATTCAAGTTCTGTGAAAATGAATTAGTTCTCAATCCAGAGACAACTACTTTCATGCATTTAATAATGGGTTGTTCTAGACAAACTGCCCTCTCTCCACCAAATAAAAGTAAGCAAGAAAAAACATCCAGGTTTTCAGAAGTGTTAGACTTCCAAAATAATTTTGGTGAAGTTAGGAGCAGATGCCTGCATCCAAAATCTATGGAAAAAAGAACTTCTCATAATGACTCATTTCTACTGCACAATCATTAAACATCCCAAATCTCTTCTTCAAGTATTTTTCAAGTCTTTTTCAAGACTGAGACAAAGTCTTTGGCTCAGTCCTTTCTCAAACTGTTCTGCAGAAGGCTGGTTGACTGCTGACTTAACTTGGACACAGGACATAATATCTAATGATCTAAGAAGTGACTTTAGTCCACAAGAGTTTCAGACTGTTAAATGAATTAAAAAATACTATAGCCCATCAAACTGATGTACAGTACAAATAATTACTTCTGGTTTAAGAATAGCTATACTACATATGCCAAAAAAGTTCTCACCAGTGTTCTTTGCAATTTGCGGAGTTTTTCAACTGGTTCAGGATCATAACCAGGAATCTTACGCATGTCATTATTCCTTAGTGCCAACATAGTCTCTAGCATAAAACGAACCTATTGGGAAAAAAAAATATTAAAATCTGTAGATTAAGTGCTGTTTATTAAATAAAGTAGAGAGTATACTTTGAAATTACTGTTCTGTTAGAATAAGCAGCTCAGCTGGCAATATACATCAAAATTTAGATTACATTAACACAAATACAGAAAAGGATGTTTACTTTAATTCCTATCACATTCATTTGTGTTCAATCTTCAATTCAAAGCTTTATCTGCTAAACACCATTCCTCAGCGACCATTTTTTGAAGTGTACAAAGTATCACGAAACAGAAGCACTGTCCATTGCATAAGGCATAATACAGTCCTAGTCTCACCCATTACAAGCATTTTGGTGTCCGTGCCCCAAGAACTAATGGAGAAAGACAGACAAGAAGAATGCAAATAACTGAACATTAACAGTAACTTAGAATCTAAATAGAGTGTAGCAGAACACATATTGTTAAATTAACACATGTATCCAAGTGCTTATAAAGTCTATTCATAACAGAAAATCTTTAAAACACACACATACCCTAGTCTGATCCTGGAGTTTCTTCTCTGCTGTGTTTGCTTTCCTCTGGGCTTCAGTGATCAGTTCCTTCAAAGCCAATGCATCATCTTTTCTTAAGGAAAAGCCCACGTTTTTCAGAAGAAACAAAATCATTTCAATCTCTTTTTCAGTGAAAATGCTAACAAGCTTTTTCAGAATATCAAAGATCAGCAGGGAATGAACCACATGGAAGTTATACAGATGAGCAATCAAGGCAAGCAGATTTTCACATTCTTTCCCTTCAGCATCACTTTTACAGATTTCATCAAATTTCTTCACTACGGCTTCCAAAAAGTGAGCACCGACCTGGCAATAGTTCCATTAAGGGGGAAAAAAAATAAAATCCAGCAGTTAACCGTAAGCAGATTTTACAGACGTCTGTAAAACATTCACTTTTGGGGCACTGCCACTATTAATTTTTAAGAAATATTGTTGCTTCTCTCAACCAATATGGACGTTCTTCATCTACATACAAATATCTAAGTGGTGTGACATTTTCTTAAAGTATGTGTTATTTACACCTACCATATGCCATCCAGTTGCCTTTTAAAGCCTGTGCAAGAAAAGCTAATGTTGGGAACTTACAGTACACATACATCAGAATTTGTTTACGCAATTTTCAAGGACACATATTAGCATCTTCCCAGCTGTCAGGCTAGCATGCTGTTACTGCTAGTCATTCATCCAGTAAAAGCTGCATGTCAAAAACCAAATGCATCAGGGTTCATCATTCCAGAACAAAACCCTTAACAGAAGCGTAAAAAATAATATTGTAAAACAACCCCCAACATACCAAGTTTGCACAGTTGCTGAGCATGAGCTTAGGCTGATTTTGAAGAGGGGAGAAGTCTTAGCCATTTGTCAGTGGTACAGTTGGGAAGAGAAATTTTGGAATCTCTGTATTTGTGAAGAGAGAACTGATGCTAAAGACTGGAATTAGAAAGCATACCAAAATATAGGTAGGTAATGAACACACAACTGCCAAACAAGACTCTCCCTCATCATTTTGGTCCTAGTATTTGCTGGTTGTTCTTATGAAAACCAGAAATTCCAGTAGCACTACTGACTTGCATTACAGGCTTTGACCAGCTTAGGTTTTAACTACCCAATGATCATATTGCATAAATGTATAAGCACAGCTATTGGAATCCCAACTTCTGCATTGCTCAAACTAATCTTAAACGCAGCTGTGGGATCACACTTCCATGTAATGCATATTCTACATTTATTGTACAGAAAAAATAATAAGGCTTTACGGTATACTTAAATACTACAGTCTTAGATTCAAAGACGCTGTGTAACAGAGTGAGTAGCACAGAAGACAGTCTGGATATCATCTATCTATTTCTAACACCTATTAGTATATCTATATCTAGAACCTATTACTTGGCATTTTGCAAAGTTTCAACTTCTAAAAAGATTGTGTTTCTCTTTTTAAAACAACATTGTAATATTATGTTATATTTCCAGTCAGAACTGCCTTTCAAGCAGCAAAGAGGAACAAAAAAAAAATTTAATGGCAAGGCTGCATGGAGAAAGCTGCTGTAATTGCAGTCACCTGATATTTTGCATGGTTCCAGAGACAGCATTCAGGTCATGACAAACCAAAGAACTTGCATTAATACATCTTTTGCATTAAGATGTAGAAAGAAAAATTCATGGGAACACGGTGCGGAAACACATCAGTCTCCTGAGAGAAGTTTCACTAAAATTAGCTAAAATCTTCCCTTTAACATCAGTAGTTTGTTTCTTCTTAACAGTGAGCAAGAGGTATTTTACCTCAATCACTCACCAGGCTTAAAAACACAAAAGAAACACCTCCAAAAAAATTTGCCATGCTTTTTGAAGTTTTTGATATTCTGGAGTCATTGATACACCTAGTTAATTCTGCTAATGATTTGCATGATTTGGCTTAATAAAAGGACTTTTTCCACTGATGTAAAAGCATTTCTGTAACTGTAGTGCCTTCCTTATCTGGATACACATTGTTCCAGAACAGTAGCCTCATATACCCAAGGGGACAGAAATGGATTAGTGTAACTAAAGAGGAGAAAACTTGATCTTAAAAAATTCAGTTTGATGGATGGATGTAGAAAGATTTTGATGAAAAAAAATGATGTTTTTTTAACTGACCAGTGGTAACTCATGGAGGAAATAAATTAATCAGATAAACCAACAGACTTGGTCCCTTTCACTTGTGGACACCTAGCAAATAAGCTAGAAAATGAAATTCAACTAGAGATGCTTTTTAGTGACACACAATCAAAAGGTAAAAGGCAATTCCAACAAAACATCAAGGAAAACACTCTATAACATGTATTATTAAACAAAATTAGTCCCAACCACAAGAATTACCTCAATTCCTACATTATGATGAAGAATGCTGACCAAAAGGATGTGTTCCATCATCAATCTTGCAGGCATGGCAACTGCAGTCACACAAGCATTCATGAGAACATCTGTCAGAGTTTCATTCATGTCCTTTCTGCTGTTGGCCATGTAGAGATCTTCCATCTGTCCACTAATGGAGGACAAATTCGGTTCACTCAACCTGTTAAGAAGCAATATCCAATGTTCACTTTTTCTTCTCTTTACACGGTTCCACAATTTTCAATTTACCCAATAAACAACCTATTCTTTTTAGAGAAACTTGCTTGGCTTCAGAAATATTGAGAAGATGACTGGAAGAGACCTTTTGTATTTTGCTGTGTTCACTATGCTAAAAAAAATACAACGTATGTTTAATTTTGGGGGGTGCCAAAAAATACTTACATGTAAAAACAGATTAGCAGCAGTATTTACAAAGTGTTGTCAATGTGCTTACTGTCTCACTGAACAGTCTTATTAAGAAAACAAACTTTGTTCTTCACAGTTATAACTATGGCACATCAATCTTTGGGGAAATAAAGTATGAAAATACCTCACATTTTTCTAAAATATAAGGTATATCAAATTCTAAATGATGGAGCAAACTGCACACTGTAGTCTGCATTTTACAGATAACATAAACAAAAGAAAACGCCAATAGATCTTATTTTTAAAATACTCTAAAATTAAAATGCATTAAAGTCCTGATTACTTTTTCTGTTCTTCAGTACTTTAAGCTATGAAGTGTTGCTCCTCCTCAGTTGTAGTGTTGGTGAAATTAATGTTTACTTAATTAAAAAAAAAGAAAATAATGGGGGGTTTTTTGGGGGTATAACTCACACAATGAGGGTTTTCTTATAGGCATACTCCAACCGACACATACTAAATTACACCTAGCATTTGCAGGCAACTGCTCCATGGAATTGAGCCCAATCTTAAATTTATTTTCTAGATTTTTCAACTTCCGTAACGACCAACTTTGAAGAATTTATATCAACAAAGATAATTATTATTAAGGATAGCAGACATGATTGCCAACTTAAAATGAGTTTGTGAAGAGAAAAGTCACATCCTTGCCACTTTTCTTTGAATGATGAGCACTGTCACATTGAACCAGAAAGATTAATGGCTTTCCTTATTACGTTACCTATTAATGAGACCATTCACCATTTTCTTCAGTCTTCCCAATTCTTCTCTTTTCTTGTCATCTAGCGTCTCCTGAGCTTTCCTTACTTGAGGTGGAACATACTTCGTAGCACTGTGATCACGACTCTTACCAGGGAAAACAATAAAATTAGATACCAAATGAGACTAGTATTTTAACTATTTGGACACAAATATATACTTCTATTTAAGATTAATATACAGAACTTTTCGTTAAGTATACATTTTACCATCTAATGCCAAAGGAGCAACTTCACACAGAAAAGAATCATGCAACAAGTTACTGCTTACGACCAATCTGACAGCAGCAAAACCCCTCTTTGCTCTACATGAAATTTTCTTCTAAGTTCTTATGACTAAACCCTGACATCTTAGGTCTTGGTTTTATCAGCTGCAGACGTACTAACAGTTTAAGTGAGTGCCACGGGGGCTAAACCACCCGTTTGTCCCCCTCTCCTGCACCTGAGCTACCAGACCTGGCACAGGCCAAACCCCTGGCATCGTCCAGCACTGAAACCCCAGTTTGCAACAGACACTAATTTTAACATAATCTCTTTTGGCTCTTCGCAGAAGTGCTTGCGTTCAGGTTGTGGAACGTCCTTTGAGAAGCAGGTTCGCGTAATCTGAGGCGAACGCCCTACCTCCTCCTCCTCCTGCTCGCTCGGGGGCTCGCTGGCCTCAGGCACCCCGCCGTCCTCGGGGGTGGAGGACGAGCTCTCGCTCTCCCACCGTCCTTCCACATCATCCCCCTCAGAGGGCTCTGAGGTGTCCTCCGGCCCTTCCTCGTCCTCCCCCGACTCCTCCTCGTCCTCCGGCGGCCCCGGCCGGTTCTCCGGCGGCCCCGAAGGGGCCTCCTCCTCGTCGCTGCTCTCGCACAGCCCGCTGAGGCCGGCCCGGGAGCCCAGGGCGCCCAGCACGTAGCCCAGCCCGTCCCGCAGGAAGCTCTGAGGCAGCTTCTCCACCGCGGTCTCCTCCTGCTTCTTCTTGCGGGTTGACTTCTGAAGCTGCTGCTCACTCTGTTATTCCTTTTGTCCAGGAGTGGAAATTGAAGTGTGTGAAAACGCAGAACACCCTCAATACTCCAGTTTAAGGAAGAGGTGTGTTACGCTACGGTGGTGCTGTGGGAGTTGATGTTTGACCTGGGTGGTCTGAAGCTGCTGGGCGCTGTCTCCTCAATGCAAAGGGGCGAAGAGACAGAGAACATGCCAGAGTGAGAACCAGTGCTGCAGCAGGCTGCAGCCGGGAGAGATTTAATACATGGTGCATGCAGCGTGGTAGGGGCCAGAGCTCGTACCCAGCAAGTGCCCAGCAGGAGGATGTGACAAAAAGGCACCATGTGAGGTCTTAATTATGTGGTTTTACATTTTATGTTTTTAGAGATCCCCCCGGCGGAGCGGGGGCCCCCGCCGGCCGCTTCATCTTTCCCCCAGCCACGCCGCGCTTGGGCGCCGCCATCTTGGGGAAGAACCGACCTTCCTCTTCCGCCGCGCCGCCGCCATGTCGGGCAGCAGCGCCCCCTGCCGGGCGTTGGCCGCCGGGCGGCGGGGCGACCCCTCAGGCGGGCGCAGCTCTGAGGAGGTGAACCCGGGCGGGCTGGAGCTCGCTTGAAACCCGTAGAGATCCTTTCTTTATGTAAAAAATATATTTAAGAAAATGGAAGGGTTGTCCCTCATGTTACAGGAAGGACGGGAACAATTCGTCCCTTGTAGCCCTGGCTGTGGTCATAAGGCCGTAACGCCCGTGAGGCACGAGGCTCTTGCTAATGCCTGGTGAGGCCGCAGGGTCTGAGGGACATCAGCGCCCCCGCCTCTCCTCCACCCACCCAGTCCCTCATGTTAATCCCTTTCCCACCCTGCCAAGCTCAGGTCTCTCTTCCTGAGCGTGCCAGAGACAACATCCATGTCTATGGCCGCTGTCCGGTGTTAACTTCTCTTGGGGTGTCCATTCACAGAGACGTGCAGGAAAAGGTGATGTGACTGCTGGGACCCGTGGCCCCCTGCCACAGGGATGGATCCTCACCACTCTGCCTGGTGACACAGGCACAGCAGGCGACAACTCGCCTGTCGTTTATGTGATCAGAGGGAATTAAATGTCCCGTGGCAGTTTGCTGCTGTCAGCAGGGAAACCAATTGGTTGGTTTTATTTTTAGTCTCTTTGCTGTACCGTAGGCTTACGCAGCCTGCTGGATTTGTGTGTCTGGCCCTGTGTCTGTGTCCTCTCCTCCCACTAACTCAAAATCTAGTGCCAGGTTCAGTTGTGTCTGGCAGATGCCTGGAGTTCCCCGAAACACTGAATTTCCCCAAGTTTCATCAAAATAGGTGTCTGTGTAGAGGAAAGAATTTCTCAGCTGAACAAAGTGCTACAAGATGAGCTTAGACCTCAGCAGATACCAGAAAACACAAATGAAAGCCAGCACACGTGACCCAGTTTCTGAAAGAGAGTCAGTCTTGAATATCCTGTGGGGACCAAATCCATAGGAAGTCAGGCTTCATTATTTTTGTTCTTTGGTGTTGCACTCCTGACCTCTGTTGAACAATGAAGTACTACACAGGACTTATATTTTACCTGAAAATTTAATATAGTTTTATTATTCAGAAGATTATTTTTGTCTTTCTATGCATGTTTCCATATTCTGTCATTACATCATATGTCCTAGATGACCCATGCTTCAGAAATCCAGCTTTCTCAAGGCTGATGCATAATGAATCTTTCACCCTCAGTGACAAAATATGTTGCATTGATTCATCAAGGCATTCCTTTTGCTACATTTTAAACTATATATTATTCTATAATTTATTGCTGGGCTGCTCTTTATTCATGCACCGACAGCTCACATGCATTTTGCATCCTATTTATAGATTTATTGGTAACAGTAATCCAGCAGCATGCCAGAATACTAGATAAATACAGCTGAATATAATTTGAGAAAATATTAGATGCTTTTAAAACTCCAAGATTTGCATCTTCCCTCTGTCTCATAATGTAATTTGTCATTCAGGGCAACAGAGGTTTCCAATAATGGGAGATTTCATTTATCTTCAAAGTGAGAAAATGCCAATATTTGCCATCTTCAGTACTTCATGACACAAAGCAAAATGTGGAAAGCATGTATTTTTGCTGAACTCCATAATCCCAAATTTGGGTGAAAATGGGTGTGCTACTTTTGCAAAAAATATACTAATAGAATTATTGTCACCTGTTTGTGAAGTAAAAATACTTCCTAAGAATGAAAACAATACTTCAGACAAAATATAAATATAATCAAGAAAATGTAATATTGAAAGAAATATCAATCTGCTTAACAGACTAATTCAGCATTGAAATCTAGTGAGGCCATAACTAAATAAATACAACAAATATTTCAGATGCTATCCTAGAATATTGTGGTTTATTATTTTACATTTACCTATTTGGCTTCAAGTACCAGGTAAATACAGTCTTCTTAAAACCTAAAATGTGAATAATTAGAAACTCCTGTCAACTAGTCTTCCAACTTTCCTGTGTTGTCTAAATACCAGAACAGGGGAGAAATCCAGTTTCCATTTTACAAATTTCACATTTAGATCTCTGCATCTTATGGGCGTCATTTACTAAATAGGAACTCTGAATTGAGGGAACATTTTGTAATCGTTCTTTGTTTTGACAGTGATCCCACAGCAGAGAACAAGATGCAAGGGCAGGTTTTGCATTTAGAATGAAATGGAACATAATGGCATGATTCACTGGAAAGGAAAGTTCATATAGAATTGTTGCTTCAGTAAATTTTTGCTTCCTGCTG